CACAGCGTATAGCGCAGACCACGCTTCAAAATTGAGCATAAATCAAAAATGTCTGCGTCAAGCTCACTGCTACACACTGCTGCAGGAGTATAACCAGCCCTTTAGATGTAGGGCAAGCCCTTAAGGTCCAGTACTGGGCCCACAGGCGGATACCCACTACACCTGTTAAAGTTGGTCCAATTTCTTGAAACAGGATACTTTAATGCTTCTAAAGCTAAAATTATTATTGATATTATGTTTTTTATGACAAAGACCTTCGATGGAGATGTGATTTATAAAACTTTCTAACACTGGCTGACTTTTCCAGAAGTTATTTTTAGGGACACCGCTCCACTCTGCCCCTCATGGCAGGTATCCTTGGAAACTAGAGAGTCATTTCAACCTGTTGTATGTCTTTTTCAGACATTGTCAGGTATTATATTTCTGTGTGTGAGTAAAGTTTAAAGTAATTTTCACTTTATTAACCATATGCACAGTATTCTTTGTGAAGAGTTACAAAAATAGTTGATAATATATATTATAGATGTCATGACTAAATGTTGCTCATATGTAAAAGAAGGCCATTAATGCAGCGGTCCCCAGCCACCGGGCCGCGGACCGGTACCGGTCCGTGGGTCATTTGGTACCGGGCCGCACAGAAAAAAGTATATATATATATAATTTATCGACAATCAGAGTCTGAGTGATGTTTTATTTTGAAAAATATAAAAAAGTGCGGTATTCTCTCCCAATTGCATCAGTCGGTGCATCTGTGCCTCTTGACACAGGTTAATTCAGTTTAAGACTCATCCTATCTATAACATCCTATCATTGTGATAGGATGTTGTGCGGTTACAGCGACCAAAACAAAGCTACGGAGCAGACTGGACATCAGGAGCACACTTCGTCTGTCATTTTCTCCGATTACGCCTAGATGGGAGTGGCTTGTTGTTTTATTTTTATGCAGTTTGTATTTGATTTTATGCCAGTTGTATCATTTTACTTGATCGTATTCCCCCCGAACCCCCCCCTCCGGCCGGTCCGTGAAAATGTTTGTCTGACATATAGCGGTCCGTGGTGCAAAAAAGGTTGGGGACAGCTGCATTAACGGACACTAGCACTTTTATTTGACAAGATTCCCTTTAATGAGGGGGGGAAACATATTTGGCATAGTTTTTGCACATTTGGCTAATTGTGCTGAAATGACAGCTTTGACTGGCACAATGGCCCGCTAAAACCATGTGCTTAAACTGGTTCAATCCAAATTTGCTACATTTGCATTTAAGTGGTTGATCAGTATAATCTAAAGCGACTATTCCTGTTTATTTATTATCTCCTATTTAGCATTCTTTAGTATTTTTTCTAGTTTTATTTTGCCATTCATCGTTTACATTTATCTTTAGGTTATGTTTCCCAGTTACTCTTATTGGCCCCTTTTGTCACCTTCCTTTCCATTGGTTTTCTTGTAGTTCTTTCTCTGCACACCTATTCCCACTCAGATCATTACTCCAATCTTTGTACTGTTAGTCTCCTCCTCAGTGTATATTTACCCCTCCTGCAGTGTGTCTTTGCTTGATCTCCGTCATTATTTCAGGTCTTCATCAGTCTCTGTCAGTCACATTCCATTCATTCTGTTTTGGTTCCTGTGTTCCTTGGCTGTTTAATGTTAGACTTATAGGCTGAATCCCAAACCGCCCCCTAACTATCAAGTGTCACTCGCATTAAAGTCACACTCGCAACCGTGGAAGGCGTCTGGATTGTACGTGACATAGGACGTAGGACAGCTCTTCCCATCCAACGAAAAGGGAAAGCAGTAGTTCCCATGGCAAAATAGTGTTGCTACTTAACATAACATCAAATATTTGCCATTTTCTAAAAAATAAATCTATGCAGTCAAAAGAAACACTTTCAAAAAGGACCTTCCATTTTGGTAATAATGACAACTTTTTTCATAGATGACGAATGAGGGGAAGATGGAGCGGGAGATCGATAGGCGGATTGGTGTGGCGTCTGCTGTGAAGCCTGCACTGTACCTGTCTGTTGTGGTAAAGAGAGTTTTACAGGTCGATCTACGTTCCTACCCTCATCTATGGTCATGAGCTTTGGGTCATGACCGAAAGAACAAGATCCCGGATACAAGCGACTGAAATGACTTTTCTCTGCAGTGTGTCTGGGCTCTCCCTTAGAGTTAGGGTGAGGAGCTCAGTCATCCGGGGAGGACTCAGAATAGAGCCGCTGCTCCTCCACATCGAGAGGAGCCAGTTGAGTTGGCTCGGGCATCTGATTAGGATGCCTCCTGGACGTCTCCCTGGTGAGGTGTTTCAGGCACGTCCCACCGGGAGGAGGCCCCGGGGAAGACCCAGGTCACGCTGGAGGGACTGTGTTTCTCAGCTGGCCTGGGAGTGCCTCGGGGTTCCCCAAGTGGCTGGGGAGAGGGACGTCTGGGCCTTCCTACTGAACACACTACCCCTGCAACTCCACCCCGGATAAACGGAAGAAGATGGATGGATGGATGGATGGATGGATGGATGGATATCTTTTTTCTTTTTTGTATCTGTCTGCGTGATGAAGATCCAGCAAACAAGCAGAACTTGCATTTGAATGCATGTTTCCTTCGCCACTTGTTTGCCGTTACACCTGCTGCCAAATTCAAGCGAGCTTGCACTGTTGCAAACTCACTATTTAACTCTGCTGCACCACTCCCAAATTGTAGGTGACCGCAGACAGTGGAGGCATCTGATTGGTCAAATCTACATCCGCTCTACACTATGCGTATTACCTTACCAGTTTGTTATGTTTGTTTGACAGCCTTTGTGGAAAATGACTCCTGAAGATGGACCACCTAGAAGAGCGAGAGAACGCTGGGACCCTTTTCCCACTTGGATCCTGCCTCTTTTTCAACCTCATGTCCCTCTGTTGTCGCACGAACTTGCCTCCACTTCCTCACCACCTTGGCCGTATTTAGATCCACAGCAAGTTCCTGATTGTTCCTGTTGCATTGTGGCGTGGAATAACATCACTTCGCTTCAATGTTAAACATAAATAAAAAATGTCCATGTCATACCTGCGACAAGCTAATTGCGACACACTGGTGCAGGAGTATAACCAGCCCTTTAATGTGGTGAACCCTCTGAGGGATTGTGCTTAGGATTGGTGTTTAGGTGCTGGTTTAGGATTCAGCCATACTTTGGCTGCAATAAATCTGCCAGACTTAGATAATCTCTGTCTCCGTCTTTGCATTTGGGTTCAGCCACAATCTTTTCGATTTGGTGACAGTCTCAAAAGTTGTCATTAGAATTCAAACATTTTTTTCACCATTAATATTAAAATAACTACTTGCAAAGCAAAAAAGCAATACATTAGTTTCTTTGTATAATAAAGAATAAGACATAGTAACTGTTGTGGTAGTGGTTTTACTTAAAAATCTATTCTAAACATATGAAGATGAGTATATTTGCATTTGTTACACAGCATATAGTAAAGAAATTATGTAAATTTGTGAAATTCTTTGAGATGGGGTAAAACCTATATGTTCTGTAAGGATTTTGCGCAGACAGACATTTCGGGAGGTCCTATGCTAAATTAACTGTCAATAGGAAGCCTCCTGATTTCTCTTTTGGCCTCCTTCGTTACTACCTGCACTATTCAGAAAGCAATTATTATGGAGAAGCATTTCCTATAAGTTATAATGTGTTCTTTTCAGCACCACCTAATGACTGCTTCTGCCGACTGCTACCATACCCAATCTCCTGAGGCCGACTGGGGTTCGAGGAGAAAGAAGACATAGAAAATAAATTAGAGATACAAAAGGCAACTGTCAACCATCTCCACAGGCGACCCCGTCCAGGAAACACAGCCAGGCAGATGAACTCCGAGCCAGCTCCCATGTCAAAGGATGAAAGAGAGCACATAAACATCCATAACATCAAAAAAAAAAAAAATAAGGTGTTGATGGCAGCAGCACAGCTGATATTTCTCTCCAGGATGGAGTCACATCCAAACAGGAACAGACCAGATGAAGCTACTATGAGAAAAAGCAGAGAGAGCAGAACGTTCGAGATTGAACTAATAGATTCTGCAAAATGGGAGAATTCAGATAGAATGAAGCGGAATTATGAAAACGGCTCCCTTTGTCCTCCAGCAGTCTAAGCCTATAGCAGCATAACTATAGAGAAGGCTCAGGATAACCTGAGCCACTCCAACTAAAGCTTTATCAAAAAGGAAAGTTTTAAGCCTTTACTCTAAAAGTAGACAAGGTGTCTGCCTCATGGACTAAAATTGGTAGTTAGTTCCAGAAGAGAGAGGAGCCTGATAACTAAAAGATCTGCCTCCCATTCTACTTTTAAAAATTCTACCACCCAGTAATTTTATAAATAACATTTTATTAGTCTGTAAAGAATTGCATTTAGGCCTAACTTGCTGCAGTCCCATCTGAGTGTAATAGCAATCTCTATAGTCACTAGTTTGTCAACTTTGCGCTGCCGTAGCGCAAAAGATGTCTGCCTCCACAAATGTGAACTGAGTCCTATGTAATTATAAACAGCAATTTCTACTGCAATTGCTAGCTCTCGTCTTTAAGCATCAAAGCTACACACATAATTAATTTATCTGACAGGACATAATGTTTCTCTGCATTTAAGCCACATGTGGTACGTGTTTATTTACGTGTACTTCCAAGTTTAGAAACTGTGTGACAGAGGTTTATGTGAATGCATAGTAAACATGTTTCTATCAATATATGGCATGATACCGCACATCTAAACAGGTTGATTAAACAGATGGAACATGTTCAATTGTTCAACGGCATCCATTTCGTCTTGCCTGTGCTACAAACACTGTAGCAGAAAGTGCTATAAACACTTTCTGTTGTACTATAATAATCATCTTAAAAGCAATAACGAACAGGAAACAAAAAACATCAACAGATTAAATACCAACAGTATTCTCCTAACCATGCAACCTTATCCCAGTACCATCATGACTGTGAATCATATTTGAATGACAATGGTTTATGCTGTGCCATCACACACCTACCCATTCTGTCTTTTTTATATAAAGCAGAGAGGCATGGTTAAGGGACAGTAGTGAATAGTAATACACCCTGATGCCACCATCACCATGGGAAAGGTAAATAAAACCAAATGCTATGATTTACACCTTGATGTTTCTTAATTGTGTAAAAAAATTGCTTTGTTTGCTTTAACAGATAATATTTTATGAGGATAGAAACTTCCAAGGCTGCTCTCATGAGTGCATCACTGACTGCTTAGACCTTCAAACGTTCTTCATCAGATGCAATTCCATCAGGGTAGTGAGTGGCTGCTTTATGGTGTATGAGCGGCCAAACTTTACGGGCAACCAGTTCTACCTGAGAAGAGGAGACTACTCAGACAATCAGCACGCATTTGGCATTGGTGACTGTATTAGATCTTGCCGTTCCATCCCTCAGGTAGGTCAATAAGGAAAAAAATGTAGAGAATCTATATCACTATATTGAGATAAATCAATTTTTCTCTGGTGGCAGCATCATGGCAACTATAGGTTGAGGCTTTTTGAGCATTTTAACATGTCTGGCCAGATGCATGAGCTGGTGGAAGACTGTTCAAACGTCCAGGAGAAGCTCAGCATGTCCAGTTTTAGCTCCTGCAGCGTGATGGATGGCCATTGGCTCCTTTATGATCAACCAAACTACAAAGGCAGAGTGTACTATCTAAGGCCCGGGGATTATCAAAGATACAGCGACTGGGGAGGCACCAGTCCGAAGATCGGCTCGATTAGAAGAATCACAGATTTTAAGTAAAGTTAATAAACATTTTCTGCCAAATAAAGCCTTTAACTTGTGCTCTATTACTTTTATCTTTAAATATGTTGTTTTCTCAAATCAACATTGTAATATATTCCAAAATCAGAGTTCAATGTCCAATTTTTTAGCAGTCATAGTCTAAACAAAGTAGCCTCTTTAGTACTTTAATCTCCATTATGCGTAGGTATAACATTCTAGACAATGCCAGTGGTACCCTCTTTCAGTCTGTGCCCTCAGTGGGATTAACTGGTGTCTGCTGTGGCAGACTTTATCTATAACACTGCTGTGTAGGGTGTACAGAGAAATCACAGAGAAATGCAACAGCATAATACAGAACTTGGGATATAAGATATGAAGATGATCTCAACTGAGTTTGAGTACATTTTGCTATATAAAAACTGAGGAACGGAAAGTAAAAGCAAAGGTTAGACAAGTTTATTTTAATGTTCTTAAGAGAAATATATACGTTTTTATCTATGTGAGAGGTGTATTAACCAAAGATATAAAGTAATGCCTTGAAACATTAGTGATGACTCAGTCATAGTAATCTGAATTAGACAAATGCACATAAAGGCCATATTAGTGGGATTATTTTAAGTGGCAAAACCCAAAGAAACTCAATTACAAGGCAAGACTGAAGGTTTCAAACCCCCAGTTGTCAAATGGGAAAGTAGCTGAATCAAAATTAAGTAACACAAATGATCTTGTGACATCAACATTCACCAGGAGTCTATCAGAGAAAGCTATTAGGTGTAAACATCTTAATTTCAAAACAGAATGAAAAAAAGCCTCACACATATTATAAAGTAAAATGAAAAAAAGAGACTATCCTACAACCAAACACACACATACCAAGAATTCAAATGTGATTCGTACTGGACAAGTCCTAATACAGTCTTGGCATCTAGAGTGTCGTCCAGCAGCACATGTTCATGCATTTATCTGCCCGCTGTGAGGCTGCTCAGGTAAAGAAGCAAGCAGAGTGAATGGCTTCCTGTTTGTCTAAACAACATATCTGATGCAAAAGGGCTGTTCCATATTGTTCTTCAGTCATTGTTCGCTGGACGTGTGGATACCATACTAGTCCTTTCCTTTGTCAGTGCAACTCAAAACACCAAACCGGTTACTGTAATTATTTATCCTTTTTTCAAATACAAATCCATATTTCTCACCCAATGTTGTGGTTCAACAAAAAGCTAAACATGTGCCAGTAGCCTTTAGTTATAACTCTAAGGGAATTTGAATAACAATGATGTGTTTGTTGAGAGGTGGTATAAAAAGCCCTGAAAACATGGGGAATCTCTGCAACAGAGACCATGGGTAAGGTAGGTACAGCGTGTACACTCTGCTTACAATCATTGTGAGTTGCAGGAACCCCAGCTTGACAGTTTTCTCGTTTTCTTTGATTTCTTTTTTTTTTTACTGAAACAAAGCAAACAGCCTCTGATGCTCCAATAACTTCCTCCTCTAGATTATTTTTTACGAAGACAAAAACTTCCAGGGTCGGAGCTATGAGTGCAGCAATGACTGCACAGACCTTCACTTGTACTTCAGTCGCTGCAACTCCATCCGGGTGGAGAGTGGCTGCTTCATGATCTATGAGCGACCCAACTTCATGGGCCACCAGTACTTTATGAGGAGGGGAGAATACCCCGACTATCAAAGATGGATGGGTTTTAGTAGCAGCATTCGCTCATGCCGCATGATTCCAGTGGTGAGACATCATCCTAATATGTACAGATTACCACATCACTAAATACGTATTCTAGAACAAACATTTGAAATGTTAATTTCTTGCTGTGTGTCTGACCATTTGTTGTTTTCTTATGCCACACAGTATAGAGGCTCCTACAGAATGCGTCTCTATGAAAAGCCTGACTTCATCGGTCACATGATGGAGTTCAATGATGACTGTCCTTGTGTGTCTGATCGTTTTCATCACCGACATGTTTACTCTTGCAATGTTATAAACGGCTACTGGATCTTCTATGAGTACCCAAACTACCGAGGCAGACAGTACTTCCTGAAACCCGGGGAATACAGGAGGTACCGGGACTGGTGTGCCACCTGTGCCATCGTTGGATCCTTTAGGAGGGTCACCGAATTTTAGCCATGAACAAAAGCCTTGCTGTAAATATCAAACACTTTGTTTATTAAAGGAATTCAGTTTTTAACAAACGCTGTGAAAGATTTTTTTTATAATGTGAATAGGAGTGAATTACAGATTGTTTGTGGTTAATAAATCATCAACTGTAGCACAGAAATGCTAAGATTTTTAGTCAGTATAGCTGGTGTGTTTTATAATTTGAAATACATACCAAATAAAAATCTTTGTATTTTTTTACTGCACTTTTTTTGAGGTTTTCATCACAATGTCTTCATCAACACAATTAATGAACCATGTCTTTATCGTTTATAGTTAAAAAATAATAAAAAAAAATATTTGTATGTCTACTTCAGCCTGTTCATTAAATCTGATGACATCCTATTAATCAGATTTACTGATGGAACCCCGTTCCAAGCAATACCAGCTTTGGTTATTCTTCAAGCATTTTCAATAGCAGTGTGTTAATTTCAATAACTGCTCTATTCATCCAAAAGGTCTTCTGTGCAGTTAAGTTTGGTTGGCCAAATAAATTTCTCCACACAAATCTTTACAAACATGCAGGAAAAAAAAGGGGATTTCACACCTAAATTCACTGATTTGGTGGTTTGAACCAATACCTTTGTTATTACAGGGTTGCGCAAAAAATATTGTTTAAATAATTAATTGATAAGAAATGACAAAACATTAGGAGCAGAAAATCCTAAAAATTCTGAAATCGTAATATAGCCATAATTATTTAGAGTTGTAAATGTCATGATTGGGTTTAAGGACTTAGCCCACATGCAGAACACAACGGAGTCTGAAGGAAAGTTTAACAAGGTTTATTGAAAGATGTACAATGATATAATACTGGATCTGGTTCTGGTACTGGTCCGGGACTGGTCTCAGAGTTTCTGGAGAGATGAGAGTTTGGTTAGCCAGGCTGATGATGGATTGATAGAGAGAAGAATCAAGATGTACCTTGAGGAGATTGTAACAGAGCCGTGAGGTGAGATACCGTAGGTCCAGAGTCAATGATGTGGCAGAGAGTTTAAGCAGCAGCAGCGTCTAGTTCCGAGCTAGAAGGTTTTCTGGCTTGGGTTTGTTCCTTGCTCTATCCAAGAGCTGAAGAAGGAATCCAAACTGAGATCTTCAGGTTTGGCTTTCATGAGCAGGCAGGCAGGTTTCTACGTGGAGCTCATCCAGAGCTTCAGGGTTTTCCTGTGAGCACAAAAGACAAAGGCGATTAGAAGACTAGTTCCTCTCTAGAGTCTATTAGTAAAGTTCAGACGTTCTGAGGCTCAGGTTCGCTAACCAAACTAGGTCAACACTCCGGCGTCGAAGGAAGGTCTGGCAGCTGCTTAAGTAGTGTGGACCTCTGATTAGCTGATGATCTCCAGGTGTGTAGAGGAATCAGTTCAGGAGGCCCACAGCGCTCTCTGCTGGAGATCAGGTGGCAGATCTCTGGATCCTGACAGTAAAATCTCAATTCAGATTCACATTTTTTACTTTCCTCATAGTGTTTGGAGAGCACCTGGCTCTCCATCTGCAAGTATACAGTGGTTGTTGGAATGTCTAAAAGTAGACTCTCTACTTATAATAATAGGCTTAATATTTTACTTTTTGATAAAACTTATAGTTTAGAGTGGCTCAGTTAGCTATATTTATTGTAATGCTGCTACAGGCCTAGAGTGCTAGAGGGCATAGAGACCACTTTTTAACAGTCTGCTTTATTCTACTTCTGCAGTATTTGTTTGTCAAACTTCTAACCAGAGGTGGAAAGAGTACTTAAAAATTCTAATTGAGTAGAAGTATCTTTACTTTGCCTAAATTTTACTCTTTTTATCCCAAAATTTACTTAAGTAAAAGTACAAAATTACTTCATTTAAAATGTAATTTGAGTAAAAGTTACTTAGTTACTTTGAGTTATTTTATGCAAAAAAAGGATGAGTCATGAATCGAATTGAGCACAAGGTGTTTTAATCGATTTCAAGGCGTATTTCAGTGGACATCCACACTTGCAAAAGATCAGCTGGGCTAAAGAACATACTTCCTCATAACACAAGGACAGTCACAACAGGAACCATAAAGTGGAAACAATTTTCACTCCTACTGTCCAACAGAAAACACCATGATAGGAATAAAGAAATTTAAACTAAGTTTTAAAGTTTTCAAAATGCACACAAAAATAAATGCCCCCCCGCCAAGACCACGGACCAGGTGGCTCGTTCTTCCTCCAGGCCCCAGACTCCGGGCGGCAGCCGGAGAGCAGGGGTGTGAGAAGACCCCGATCCTCCCTGCGCCTGTGGTGTTGATGTGGTGTTATTGCGTGTTGCTCTCATGTGTAATTACAACTGGGAATACCAAAAGGCGGTGTCCAGCACAGTCCACCCCCCCTCCAGGAGATAGGCGGTGCCAGTGCACCCCCCTAATCGACAACCCAGAACCCTCAATGTCTACATGTGAGAGGGGATGGGGGGAGCCGACCATGGTGAGGCCCATGAAATAAGCCCCCCCGGTGCCCTTGACCCCCACCCCCTCAGACAATGCCCTACATAGATGTGTGTTATGAAAGTGTTGTAGATGGAAGTGTCTAAAATGCAAAATAAAATTGGGGTGGGGACGTCATCAGAAGGTGGTGCCCTTTAGTAATGACCCCCTCCCCAAAAACCAGAGATGGCAAAAGTACTCACTTTCCGTACTTGAGTAAAAGTACAGATACTTGTGTTAAAAAATACTCTGGTAAAAGTGGAAGTACTGATTAAACTTCTTTACTCAAGTAAAAGTAACAAAGTACAGGCTTGTAAATTTACTTAAAGTATAAAAGTAAAAGTAGAAACCACTTTTTTCATGCCGTTGCCTACATTTTAAATGGATGTCTGCCAATAGGACTAGATCTCCGTTGTGTTCATTTTCAATCATCTCGTCGTCCATGCTACTATGCTAACGCCACCTCCACCAAGCTGCAATGATTTGCCGCCAATGAATACCGCCGAATCTGTCGATTCATCTTGTAGTGGTGCGTCAAATGCAACGTAGATTCCCATCCAATTAGATTGAATTTGGTATTGATGACGTGAAAAATAATAACGGTAACTCCATTGAAATGATTCAAAACTAAAGTAACGAGCCAATTTTTTAAAATGTAAGGAGTAGAAAGTACAGATATTTGTGTAAAAATGTAAGGAGTAGAAGTAAAAAGTCACTATAAAAATAAGTAGTAAAGTAAAGTAAAAATATCAGAAAAATCTACTTGAGTACAGTAACAAAGTATTTGTACTTCGTTACTTCCCATCTCTGCCAAAAACCTACATGTGTGGCAGTGTGATAGAGCAGGCAGAGGGAGGATTCCAGGGATGGGGAGCAAAGGACCAGGGTGCATCTTTTTTAAAAGAGGGATGTGGTTGAGTTTTGGTAACTCCGCTAATTTAGAAGACACAGTAATTCCCAAATATTGGATATTTCCTGATTGCAATTGTAGACCTGAGGGATTCTGTAGAGAGCAATTAATTGGAAGTACTATAGATTTAGACCAATTTATAGAGTATTCTGAGACTTTTGAGAAAGATCCTAGTAAACTAATTACTTTAGAGAGGCAAGTGTTTGTGTGCTGGAGATAAAGTAATATACATCATCTGCATAAAAACTAATTTTATGCTCTATTTTCATGCCTTTTATACCTTTAACCACATTAGTTTGTCTGACTGTAGCAGCTAGAGCTCAATGAAAATGGCAAAAAGTAAGGGGGGGGAGCGGGCATCCCTGTCTGGTGCCCCTCAAGAGACAAATGCTGGAAGATGTTTGATTATTTGTCCTGACACAGGCTGTTGGGAAGCTCTATAATATTTTTAACCAATTTATAAAGGAATTGCCAAAGCCAAATTTATGTAGAGTAGCAACAAAAAATTTCCAGTTTACTCTATCAAATTATTTTTCTGCATCTAAAGACAATATATAAGATTTAAGATTTTTGCTGTAGGAATAATCTATTAAATTCAGCAGTCTGCGTGTGTTAGCGGCTCACTACCCTCCTTTAATGAAACCAATTTGATCTGGTTGGATTATGAGAGGAGTGACTTTATCTAATCGTTTTGCTAAAGCTTTACAGATTATTTTAATATCCACATTAATTAAGGATATGGGACAATAGCTGGTGGGAAACATAGGATCTTTGCCTGGCTTAAGCAGGAGACTAATGGTGGCAGAATTCATATTAACTGGAAATTTGCCATTATCTAGAGGTTCCTGCAGCATTCTGTGGAACGTTGGGGCGAGAATGTCCCAGAACTCTTTATAGAACTCAGTAGGGAACCCGTCTGGACCTGGCGCTTTATTATTTGCCATGCTTTTTAATGCTTCCTGAACTTCAACTGTTCACAGCAGTGAGTCCAGGGTCACTCTTTGACTCTCTGATGATTTAGGAAGAGTTATTTCATTTCAGCCGCTTGTATCTAGGATCTTGTTCTTTCGGTCATGACCCAAAGCTCATGACCATAGATAAGAGTAGGAACGTAGATCGACCGGTAAAACTCTCTTCACCACAACAGACCGGTAAAGTGCAGGCTTCAGAGCAGACGCCGCACCAATCCATTTATTGATCTTCCACTCCATGCTCCCCTCATTCATGAACAAAACCCCAAGATACTCAAACTCCTCCACTAGGGGTAGTACATCCTATCCAGCCCGGAGAAGGCTCTCTACCCTTTTAGAGTATTGCACTGTACGGTGTTTTTACAGTATAAATACTCTGTATCTGGAGAATTTAAAAAAAATCAATAACACCTGTGGACATTTTATAATGGATATGTGAATAATAGCAGCAACACCAGAGATGTGCCAAAAAGTGGCAGCAGCATTTTAATTATCGAAGACAGCAACTGTGCAAAAATCAGCGTGAATGTAAAGACTTATTGAGGTTATTGGGAACAGTGATTGTTATAAAGGCTTACAGCTGCTGATAGGAAGGATCTGTAATAATGCTCCCTGGTGCATTTAGGGTGCAGCAGTCTGTCACTGAAGGAGCTCTCCAGTTCAGCAACACTTTCATGCATGGGGTGGTAGACATTATCCAACAGAGATGTTAATTTAGTTAGGATCCTTATGTTTCCCACCTGCTACACTGAGTCCAGAGGGCATCCAATCAAAGAGCTGGCCTTCCTGATCAGCTGATGCAGCTGCTTTCTCACAGCTGCAGACAAGCCACTGCTCCAACAGACAGCTACATAGAAGATGGCTGATGCCACAACAGAGTCATAGATGCAGTGGTGTAGTCTATGTGATACACGGGTATACGTGCTATACCCACTAGAAAAGCTTGTGAATTTCCGTATAACCACTTAAAAGTGCCCAATAATGCTGAGTTCACACCGGACGCAGCAGGCGCGGCAGGAGCAGCGAGTTTACATGCAAGGTCAATGGTTTACGCGCGTCAAGGCGCAGCAAAAGCACCCGCAGCGCGTCTGAGTATCTGACGCGCACGACGCGCCGCAAACGCACTGCAGTTTGAGATGGAAAAATGTAACTTTTGCTGCTGGACGCGCCGCATCAACCGATCAGAGATGCTGATCTGGGAGCCGGCAGGGAGACAAACACATCGCTGATGACAAAGAACGCTGTGATCACTCATCTGAAACAGTTTATTAACGCCTAAATTAACTGAAAATGCTGAAATCTGCCGACAAAGTGTCTTTGCTTGGGTAGTGTTGAAGCAGTGAAGAAATCAAAGAACATGATCCTCACAGTGCTTCCAGGTTTCTCTAGGTGAGTCAGTGCTTGGTGCAGGAGGAAGATGAGGGCATCATCTGTCCCAATCCCAGGCTCGTAGGCAAACTGCAGTGGATCTAATGAAGTCCACACTAGGGGGCGTAGATGACGTAAGACCAACAGTTCAGTAGCTGCATGTAGCTGCTTAGGTCCTTTGGAAGTTTAGTCTTTCGCACCGGTACCACACAAATTGTCTTCCAAAGCTGAGGTACTTCTACCAGCCTCAGGCTTAAGTTGAACATGTGGCACGGGATGCCACACAGTTCATCTGCACAACATCTCAGAAGCTTGGAGCTGATACCATCTAGACTCGCAGTCTTTTGCACCTTGATCTTTCGCATCTCATTCCTCCCATGTTTTGTTGAACTCCTTTGGAGTGGGGGGATGGATGATGGTTGGGAGCTGGGAGGTATGAAGTATTCAGTTGTTGAAGAAGGTGAAGGTAACAGCAGGGTGTTCTGGGCTGCGGGAGGAGTAGGTGGCTCATGAAATCTGTTGAAAAACTGGTTTAGATTATTAACCCACTTCAAGTTTCAGGCAGCCTGTTTGTTCTGACTGTAGCCTGAGATTTTCTTCAGGCTTTTCCAAATCCTTCTAATGTTGTCCTGCTATAGCTGGTCCTCCATCTTCTTCTTGTAGCCATTCCCATCCCTGTACTAAGAAAGATCTATTGTCTGATTGTTTGGTCTGGACCAAAAGCTGACTTTTTGTATCGCTATATTTTTTGCAAGTGAACTATGATTTTAACAAAAGCTTGAAT